AAGGTCCCCTCGCAGCCTTCTCTTCTCCAGGCAGAACAACCCCAGCTCCCTCAGCCTTTCCTCGTTGGAGAGATGCTCCAGTCCCCTCACCATCCTCATAGCCCTCCGCTGGACTCTCTCCAGTAGCTCCTCAGCAGCAGCTGAGCAAATGCATTGCTGCGGTGCTGTCATAGCCAAAATGGGAAGGGTCCCCTCCTGCAGCCCCCCCTTAGCAAGGGCCTGGCAGAGGGTCTGTCTGGAATGGCACTGCCCCTGGAAAGATGGAAAAGGAACAGTGCCAGGTCATCAGAGCAGGGTGGTGCTGGCTGAGGTGTCCTGAAAGGAGGCAGAAATGAACAGGGAGCTGCAGTGCTCATTATTTGAAACTACCTGCAAGCAGTGGCCGAGCCGACAATGGCCGAATCACAAAATAAAGAGAAGCCCCCAGCTTCTGCAGGGACCGTGCCAGGACCTGTGCTGTTCAGTACACTCAGCAGTGACAGAGCTTTCCAGGGATGCAGTGTTATGCCAGGCAGACTGTAAAATGCGGCTTATGCCGGTGGAGGGGTTAGGATTTGAGAAGCGGGAGCAGCACAAACTTGCAAAGCAGCGTAAAACATCCACAGTTTTTCTACTGTGGATCTTGAGGACAGCACTGGTGTTTTCAGATTGTTATCAGCAAGCATTTCAGGGTCACTTTCCCGAATACTGATGTTTAATTTGTAGCCTGTCCCTTGGTCCTCTTCTGTTTACTTGCATTTGTCAGTTCTACATTTCATCTGCTGTCTAGCTTCAGGTCTCTCAGTAACACGCAGGTGTTTACGTCAGCTTTCAGTTTGACTGGATGAATAATCTGAACTGCCACCAGACTTTTTCACCTTGCTCTCTGCCCCCTTTCCTAGCCTGCTTCTGCATCTGATGAACAGCTCGGATCCCAGCACAGAGTTGCCCAGGCCTCCTGTCTTGCTGTGGAACAGCTTGATAGCTGCTTTGATGAATTTTCCTTCCTTTAAGCAAGTCATTAACGCGTGAGAGGACCTTTCCTTTCATCCTTGACAGCCTTGGTTCTCCAAGAGCATTTGCTAAGGGAACTTAGCTGAGGCTTTTGTGGAAGTCCAGCTGGATCAAGGATGAGCTGCGTTTTCATAGCTCTCTGCAGATGAATGTGAAAACTTTGTTTTGCAGCAGGACAGAGTCACGTGACAGTCATGCTGGCCTGGCCTTATCTCAGCATTTCCACCCATCGTGGTTTGATTTCAGCTGGATATCATCACTGCCTTTCCCCAAAAGCAGCTGACAGCTCCAAAGGACCCTGCTAGATCTGGGGACTTGATTTGTCCCTAAAAAAACCCATCACAGTGCCTCCCCAGCTGTTTGCTTTTGTCCATTTGCATTCCAGTCTTAGTCACCATTCCCAACTATTTGTGTCGTGCTTCAATAGCATTGAGTGCTCCGGGCTTTCAGGGATGCCCTCTCTCTTCCAGGAGGCCACAGGCACCTCTCTGCTCAGCTCGAGGCAGCCTGGTGAAGTGGCAGGAGTCACCATCCCTGGAGGTGTTCAAAAAACATGTAGATATGGCTCTTCAGGACATGGTTTAGCAGGCATGATGGTGTTGAGTTGACGCTTGGACTCAATGAGCTTAGAGGTCTTTTCCAACCTTAATGATTCTATGACAGCCTTTGACTGTGGCCTTCCAGGCAGCCCCAAGGGCCAGCAGTCCTACAGCCCTCCTGGGCCACCTCTCTGGCCCAGGAAGGCTGCTTCTCTCCTGCATTCCTGAAGGATGCCATCGCTTCCAGCCACCTTTGCTCTGCGGCTGTGCCACGCTCTGTGATCTGGGATGCATTTTCAGAGCTGTCGAAGCTCTCGGCATGGTCCCCAGGTCACGAATGGCCTTTCCCCATTGTGGCCAACACTTGCAGTTTCTTGCTGGTGACCTTCCCCCTTTTCCTGCATTTCCCTGGAGGGATGTCCAATGTGACTGAGGTGGATTTCTCTGGCTCTCTCCCTGCAGCCTGTTCCCTTCAAGTACCTCTATCCTTAGTGCAGCTCACTTTTTTGTTTCAGCCTTCTGGCTTATTCTGCAGATGAACTTATGCATTTGTTCTTCAGCTGTTTCAATGTGCCTTGTTTATTTGAGGGCTTGGCTACACAGCCTGCTCTTTGTTTTTTCCTACCTTCGTGTTATATTGACTTTGAGCCTACAGCATAAGCTACCCAGAACTGTGCTCTTCCACACGCGGTGGCTTTTCCCTGTCTTTGGGATCAAAATTTTCCTGTGTTTTTCATTGTGAGCACTGAAGCCTGGTTATCTTTCAGCTTAAATAGAGCCTCGTAGAGTCATTCTATCACTCAGCTGCTTCCCCACCTCCTCTTAAGCTGAGACCTTTCTGTGTGCCAAGCACTAGCTGAGATTTGCTTCACCGTGGATACAATCTCCGAGCATGTCAGGGAAAGCACCCAAGGAACCCTCGCTCTCTAGCATCCAGGCAACCAGCTTGGTATGTACCTCCAGAAACCCCCCAGCTCTTCAGCACAGTTTAGACACCTCACAGTAGCTGCCATCTTTGTCCTTGGCAGACAAGGCGTCACGGTGTTCCCCCATATGTTGATCAAGCCCATGCAGGGCACCTGATCCCTTCAGGCCAGCACTTCTCTCAGCCACGCTGTTCCTGGAAGAGCCGTGTGTCACCTTAGCCATTGCACCCTGGACAAAGTTGAGGTGCAGCAAGACGCGGCAGCTGCTCAGGAGCAGAAAATTTCTCCTCAGGACAGATGTCCCTCTCGAACTGCCCTGGTTTCAGCTGTGAGAGCACATTTTGTGGTGCAAAGCCATGTTGTCTCCATCACGACCATGACCTGCGGGCCCCAGCTGCCCAGAGCGGTGGGAGATGGTGATGTTCTTGGTCACCGGGGCCGGTGCCTTTGGCTGTGCCCCAGGCAGCGCAGGGCTGAGGAGCTCACCCAGGTTGCTGGGGGTGCTCTGACGGTTCATGGGGGGTGTTCGGGGAGGAGGCTCTGGCAGGTGCTGCCTGTGTCCCCCCCAGCCCCAGCCCCGACAAGCAGCCGGGGGTGGCTTTGTCCTGAGTGGGTCTGGGCTGACCTGCAGTGGCTGTGGCACGAAGACCCCTTCGGCCGCGCCGCCCCCCCCCCGCCACTCGGGTACCTCACCTTGGGAAGCGCTGGGGTGGCTCCCAGCCCTGCAGCACCTTCAGGATTTGTGTCACAAACCTCAGTTTTCAAAATCCTTTTGAGCGCAGGCTGCCAGGACCGCACGCATCACCGGCTACCGCCTTCCCCTCCGGCCACATCGTGGTGGTC